CCATATTTGGTATGATGACATTACGGTTTTAGTTATAACTTTTGATTTCACTCGTATGTCGTAAATAATTATCATTATTTGTCTATCATTATCAACAATGGCAACTTCCAATTTTACATTGCAGAACTTTTTGTTGTCGTCAACTATGTAATAGCGCGCAGCGGCCAATATTATTTAATAATGTTTCTCGATTTTTTCTTTTACGGTATATTGATTACACACACAAGTCTAGAACATTGAAAATTCCTGACATTACTTCGCAAATCATTTATCAACCAGGGAATTTTTTATAAGATCGGCAGGGCCAAGATAACAAGTAAACTTCTATTATTTTATGTGGTGTTATTTCATTACGACTCATTTTCAACAAAATAGTAAGCCCCTTCAATATAGAAGTTCACATAGCTCACAAACGAATACACTTATGCCATGGTGTATGCTAAAAGAGTAGTTTTATTTAGAAAAAATTTATAGAAACATAATAATAGTAAATAACAAACATAGACAATCGATCGGCATAGATGATTTTATATATAGCTTTTGGATTTCCATAATTTTTTTTTAAATTTTAGTGTGACAATTTAACAGTATGCCATAAATAATTATAATAACAATAAAAATCAATTTGGACTGCATGTATGCGTAAAAATTTTGCAACTTCAAAAATTCACATTTTTTTCATTATTTGTCTATCATTATGGCAATAGAATAAGTCTTCCAATTTTACATAGCAGAATTTTTTGTTGTCGTCAACTATGTAATAGACTTCGTCATTCTAATAAATAATATTTAATTTAAAATATTATTTGATAAAATTAAACTTCTTAAAAAATAATATTATATTTAAAAAGACTATGTCTTTATTTTGTTAGTATTGTATTGACCCTTTGTATACGCATTATATTCGTGATGATTTAATGATTTAATTATAGGCTTCTACGAAAAAAACATTTAGCTTTTGTTTATTCTAATTTATAATTTGGGAGAGTTATAAATTCATCTCGAATAAATCAAAAAATAAATCAAAATTTAAAAAAAAAATAATTTCAATATTCAAAAAAAAAATATTAAATATTAAAAAATGAATTCTCTCAACAATAAAATCGTCTTATTTCTTACTATTTTCGTTATTTTATTGATCCAAGTTGCAAGATCTAAAGTAGAAGGTATTACACAGACAGACTCGATAAGTCAGCCGCATAATTTATACTATTGAGTACTTTAAACAATTGATTACTGCGGGC